GAATCCAATGAGTCCTACTTCATATTTGTACGACCATTGGATGACGAATAAATTCATGTATCAGAATTTTTAATTTTTAATGCTCGAAAATTTTAAAAAAATGCGAAACTTGACATTATTCGCCATCTAGTGGTCGTACACAGATGAATTTATATTCATTGGATTCGTCTCACTGAGACGCGTCGAATGACGCTAATATCATGTCTCTAGCATCGATAGATAGCTTGATAATTCCAATTATTGATAAATCATTTAGCGTGGGTTAACGTGTGATCTATCGATGCTAGAGACATGATCTTATCACCATTCGACGCGTCTCGTCAAGATGAATCCAATAATATATGGCCTGACTTTGTACGATCACTAGATGGGCGTCTATTTGATTTTCGCATTTTTATAAAAAATCAGATTAAACTGAACCGAACCGCCGGTTTTTTGGTTCTAATACTTGAACCGAACTGAACCGAATTTTGAACCAGTTTCAGATCAGTTCCCCGGTTTAGCCCGAACTATTAGGAGCTTTAATTACTACTGTATATAGTGATTTTTAATTATTTCATCAAATAAATTATAGTAATAAATAATTATTTATAACCATAAAATATAAAAATAATAAAATACTCTTTATTAACTAGTAAATGGCATATTAAATTTAATTTTTATATTGATGAATTAATTCTATGACTTAAATTACTACAATTTCCATATAGTTTAATACATGTTCTTGAATTGTGATTCATATTCCTTACAATTTTGATATATCTGACCTTTAACATTACTTTTATCTTTACTAAATGATTCAACTACATTTTTACGGTAAGACTTGTATTAATATTTTGAAACAAATGAGAGGTGGCTTATTTTAATGCTTGCATTAGTAGACTTTTATTCACAATCATAATATTTCTCAAAGTTAAAAGTACATGTATGAGAGATTTAACTTGCAATATATCATTACTTGATGATAGAGAGATTTTTGCATAATTCAGATAACAATTCTGAAAAGTAATTTTATCAGACATATCTATATTAGAAAATTTAATTATATTAATTATAATCGATGATTGATTAATCAATCAATCAATCAATAACTATATGATAATTTCTATTTAAATGATTTTTAAAAATTCTAATTTCAGTATATAGGCAGATACTATTAATATTAAAATTTTTTACCAGAAGCTGTAAGTGAACTACTTTTTTTTCTGTTTAAATAATATAAAATAATATCTGTCTCTTATACACATCTAGATGTGTATAAGAGACAGATTATAATACAATCTTCGAATATTAATCCATTGCCATTTAAAATTTAAATATAAATATAGGATGATTACTATTTTGATTGATTAAATTGATCGATCAAATATAATTAATTAATTTTAATCGATCATACTCATCATAAAATAATCAATTAATTGATCAAAAATTTTAGAGATAATTAAATTCACTAATTTATACCATTAGTTATTACTAACAAAAATTTAATATAAATCATTAGTATTAAATATTTATTATACATAAATTAAATTAAACACTTTTAACTTCAAAATATTTGTAAAGTTCAGTTCTTACAGATGCAAAATAAGAATTGAGGACTGATACTTAAAATCCATATTGTAAAATAGTTAAGTTTTCACCTATACAATACATCATTTCATTATATATAAAAATTATTAATTTGTAATTTTTAGAAACTTATCTCTAATAATTAAAAAACGATCAATATTAAGCAATAATTGCATCACAAAAATCTGATTCCATATTGCCTATAAAAATATAAATTGATTAGTACTAGTTGCAAAAATTATCAAGCAGTAATCTGCAAATAAAGTAAAAAGGATTGGATATATTTATGAATCTAAATGCTTTCTTTATAATACAAATTCTTTTTATCTCTTTTAAACCATCAAAAAATGATGATAAATTATAGTTTTGATTTTATTTTGTTAATAATAAGTTTCTGGAAAAAATCACAAATTCTTCTAATTTATTGATAAATTACCACTTAATCCCTATACTTATAGTATTTTTGGTTAGATTAATTCTACAATAAAATATCATTTCTGAATTCGATTAGCAGATCCATCACAAGTATATGTAGTACTACTGATACTGGAAGTTTTAATAAAAAGATACATTTGCTGCAGAAAATATGAGAAGCAATTCGTTATAATGGCTACATATTTGTAAATGATAAGTGACACTTGTCATCACAATTTTATGATAAGAAATAACTTACCCATATTTTGTTGTAATATTTCATCGTTCAATTTATTTTGTAAAATTTCTACTAATACGACTCTATTATTGCTTATATCTGTGTCAACACCATATTCCTTCAATTGTTTCTTCAATTTTTCAATAGTGAGATGATTTGTATTAATTTCTAATACAGTCGACCCCCTTTATAGTCACACCCCTCGAGGCCGAAAAAAAGGGTGTGATTATAAAAAAAGTCATATGCTGTGACTATAGAGGAGGTTTTTCTAATATATTTATTAGTACATTGGGCCAAAATAGTATAGCAGGCTTTCTCATTTATCACGTTAATTTGCCAATCATTTTCCAATTTTATCACATAATATAAAATACCGTTACAAGACATTGCATAAAATTCTACATATTAATATGACCTCAAATATTGCAAATAAATTTATTGCACTTCATCAGGAAATTTGTTTAGGCGTAATTTAGTGTAATATTTCGAAGGTGGTGTAAAATTTCGAAATATTACACTAAAAACGTAATATTACAAAAGTTTACGCTCTTAAATTTGAATAATTATAGTAATTTAAGAATATTTCGCTATCTACTGATCCAATCAAGACGATCTATAGCTCATTGGAATCAGCTCATCAAGACGGATCGAATGGTAGTAAAATCGCATTTCTACAGTTGTTTAAATTTTAATCATACAAAGTTTTATTCAAATTGAATTATTATTGACCAATTTTTACAAATAGTAACTTTTAATTTAATGCATTTTACGTAATTTTTTAATATAAATGACTGGCAGATTTAAAAACTCATATAATAATCATACTTTAAATCTTGCAAACTAATAAATATTAATAAAATATATTTGCAAAAAAATTTTGTTAGAATCTGAAATAAATTCAAGAATTTTAATATGTACCTTCCATATAAATTAAAAATCCATTATAATTCCTGATTTCCTGTTGCAAAATCATAAATAACTCAACATATATGCATACTAGAAAAATGAATTTATATTTATTTGAAAGGAGAGAATGAGATCTATCCAAAAAGTTAAAAATCACATTGATTGAATCATTAGTTCCTTAATAAATACGCTCAATACATTTACTATCAATTTGACATAAACTCTTGCATTTGAACATAAATATTTCCTTATCTAATGATTTAATTTGCATGATTTTTGATTTCAAAATTAGAGCCCATTTACACCTTTCAAAGGAATATAAAATTATTCATTTAGTATATGTGTATGTTGATAAATTAACGATAATGTCATTACAATCAAAACCTGACACAAAATTTAAATTATAGTTCTTACCAATAATTGTAGCCATAAAACTCCTTTCACTTTATTTAAAGGATGTTGTTTAAGCTTTTAATAGAATATACTGATGAAATTCATAAGTCAACTTCTAAAAAAGAGAAAGAAATAATTAGTTTATTAATAAAGGAAAAAAAATTCTAAAAATCCTATCTGATCCTTTAAATGGTAAGGAGTTCTATCAATAAAGAATTTTTTTAACACTAAACTTATTTAAAACTTTATAACTTATACTTAAGAAGAACCTGGAGTGTCAAAATATATCTTTATTTGATTCCAACTATTTTTTGCCAAAAATTCTTTGTAAAGCCAAATAATATAAATGTACTATATTTATTTTCGTTTTATAAGAAAGTTTCAAGTGTTTATAACTTCTGGATTCCACCTCCAATAGCCAGATTCCTTTGTAATATGTTTAAACAAACCCTGAAGAATCAATTTTTTTATTGTCCTTCGCTATTAAATTTTTTGTGGCACAATTAAAATAAATTAGTACAGCTATCACATATGCGATACATATGATATTCAGCCAATAAAATATATATCTATATACAAACAATTATGTCAGTATTACGTCATTTAAAAATTACTAGAAAATGTGAATTTTAGTTATTTATTATGGCGCGCCATAACAGATAATTTATTAAATAAAAAACTAAAAATAATACATATGCTGATCATCATATGATTATTCAAAAATCGGAAAGCCTGCTATGTTGGCCAAAATATGGTGTGCTTATAAAGGGAAATTTTATATGATGTGATTATACAGAGGGAGACTATATAGGGGGTCGACTGTATAATAAAAAAATTGTTTAAAAAAATTGCAAAAAAATTCAATTTTAGATCAATTTATTACATACTTGATTTATGAGATAGTGGCATATTCTAATTAAAAGTTAAAATTGAATGATTTGAAACTTGCAAATTAGGTTTTTAAGAGGTTTTTTTTTCAAATTGTGCTATTTTAACTGGCTTAAAATTTTTCCACATTTCAATATTTGGCATTGCACGATCCTAAATAAATCCTACATATTTACCTTTTGTTGGTCAGAATCACTCATACCAATTGGAATTTCCTGGTATTGAATTTTTTTTTTCATTCTGATTCTACAAATAATAGTAGTTGTTTTTAATAATATTACATAACTTCAAATTGTATTCTCATATAAACCTCTTTTTCATTTTGGTTCCAAATATATTACTGAAGTATCACAAATCTCTTGAATAACATTTTCTATATCCACACCTTCATTGATATTAAACTCTAATCAAACATAATAATTTATCACATGTGAAATCTGTAACTACCCAGTAAATAGTTTTTATATAAATTTATATCAAACGGGCTCATTGACTTGAAATTAGCTCAAATTTATGCAAAAAATAATCCAAATCTAAGCCAATCTAGAGCCAATTATATATGGATAAACCCATTTGGTATAAATATATACAAAAACTATTTATTCATTTTATTGGGTTAATAATTCAATAAATAATAATGGTGAATTCTAAATTATTTAAATAACTAATATACACTTAGGTATAGTGAAAATCAATTGAAGTTTTGGCTTCTTCAGCTTCTAAAAAAATCCATTTTTTTACCATAATATTATACTATTTACTTTAATGTCCTAAAATTGGCATTAGGTCCACATTGTGATAATATGGACCATTATCAGAAAGAAAAGTAACCCAATCTGGTTTAACTTCAAGTAATTCAATAACTGCATGTAACGAGAAAGCTGTAAACCATACATTTTAACAAGTATCAGCTAACTAATAATCAAATATTGAATATCCAATTGACTCTCAGATTTTCATATATAGACAAGAATTGAATGTAAATCCCACCTTTTTTTTTCAAAAAAGCACTTTTTGTTTCTTTTGTACTTTTAAGTAAGATTTTTATCTTATAATCAACTATTATTACAGCTTCTTTTTCATCTAGATTTAATAGATTTGCGTTAAATTGAGAATTTAGAAATAACTTTCATGTCTAATGACTCAAATAATAGAAAATTTGATCTTACAATTCATAAATTTTCTTGTGAATATTGTTTGAAGTATTTTTTTAATATCAATGTATGAAGAATTGAAAAAGAACATCATAATCTGAATATGTGTAAGTATGTTGTTCATTACATGTACTAAAGGCAAAAAGAAGGTAATGGTTTATACATTGATTATATGTTGTTGTACCATCAGAGTTTACAGTTAAATGTAACTTATATTCTCTTTTCAAATATTATTTTAACTTTTCTCCTTAATCTAATAATTGATTCTAAAAAAAATTATTAGAAATTAATATTTATATAAATATTATATATTTTTTATTAATTATAGGAAATATTATCTGAATATGATGAAGATTACTAATATGATTTTAAATGAATTTGATAAGTTCATTAAATATTTCAATAATTTTATAGCCATATATGTGTTATATATTGAACACAAACCACCAAGATTCTCATGATAAATATATTTATTACCCTGCAAATGTTTATAAAAAGTTGTTCATTTTACACCATTTGGATATTTTTCATGAAACTTTTCTTACAGTTCTTATTTCATATTTTTAAGGTAATAAACTGGTTCTTATATAATGATATCTGTTTTATATGAATTCATTATTACATTAGCTTTATCAAAAAATAATTGTTCTAAATATTCTTTTCTTTTTCATTCTAATTTGTCTTTGGTAACAATAGGTTTTTGTACTTGAGGTGTACCTAGTCTATTAATATGCACATATCACAGGTCAAAAAGTAAAAAATCAGGCATCAATTAATTACCAATCGGTTACCAATCAGGTAGCTGATGTGTTACCGATTGGTAACTAATTGGTATTTTCGCCAAATATCATCACCAATCGGGCAGTTTGCTAACTTTTAATCCAGTAATCAGAAAAGGATGAAATATATCTCATTAGAATCGTCTCAATAAGATGAATCTAATGGTAATAAAATCATATTTCTAGAATTAATAGTTATTAGTTAATAAAAAATTAAATAAAATATAAATAATATATTTTTATTTTTATATTTTACTTAATTTTTTCATCAAGTATTAATTCTAAAAATGTGATTTTACTACCATTAGATTCGTCTTATTGAGACAATTCCAATGAACTATATTTCATCCTTTTCCGATCATTGGATCAAAAGTTAGCAAACTGCCTGATTAGTGACGGTATTTTGCGAAAATGCCAATCAGATATCAATCAGTCACCAATCAATTACCAATTAACTACCTGATTGGTGATTGATTGCCTGATTTTTCACTTTTTGACCTGTGTATTGGTGAGCTCTTGATACTGTATTTGCAGCTACTTGTAAAATTATATATTTTTTATTAATTCAATTATTTTTAATAATATATATTGTAATATTAGTATACACTAAGTCACTAACAGTACATTAAACCTTAATTTTGATCTGAGTTCTTGATAGGTAAATTTTGTAGCAATAATTGAAAGAATTCGTCTTTGACCATTTGGACCTTTATTTAATTTTCCAATGCATTATGAAATACTTGCCAAAATGTAAGAGATTGATCTTTTTGATAACATGGATTTTGCTGAAAAAATCCTGATTCATAAAGTATTTGTAATATTATACTGTCTTTTTGTGCATTATATAATTTCATCCAAAATTCAAATTAAATCAAAAAAATTATTTGTCAATAATAAAATAAAAAGTCAATTCATTTTTTTTGCATAATTACTTACTATAAATTCTCTTTTTTGAAGGGAATAACATTAGTATATTTTGCATTTTGAATAAATGCTCTTCAAGTATGTCATTTTCAATTATTAATTTCATAACCAGATGGATATAAATCTAAAATAGTTTTTCATAATTCTAAAATATTACTTTTCTGATTCAACCATTTATTAAATAAATCATGCCACAAAATTCTTCTTTTTAAATGATATTTATAAAATTTTTCTAACACTTCTTTTAAAGTCCAATCTGATACTATACAAGAAGGAATTTATGCTTGTTGAATTCAAGTTTGCATAAATGGATTTTCTAATCCAAAAAATTTTTTTTCAGAATAATTTGAAAGCTTACCAATACATAACCAAACTTCATTAGAATTAATAGCATTTATTATACGTTTTTATTAAAGTATCATTAGTATATATTTGAATTACATATTCTTCATTTTCTATTTCTTGGATAAAAGCTGATTTTGTACCATTATAATGGGAATGAAAAACAGATTTATATCCTTATCCTGCATAGTTCCATTCTAATTTTTTTAATTTTCCCATTCCCAGCACAATTATATTCAATTTTCCAAGACTAATTATATATGGATGAAATATAATATTACTAAGCAATTGTTGTATTATATTTGAATTGTCAAAATCTGTAACTTGTGAACCAGGAAACTTTGCATTTGAACAAAAAACTTTTCATAGTAGGTGTTAATAGCTTCTGTTGGTGAACTGCATATATCTGACCAATTTTCTATAGAAAAACACAAAAATCTGAAAGAATTTGAATGTTAAGTATCTTCTACAACAGTAATTATAAAGTCATATTTCTTTAAAACTATATGAATTTCATTCCTAAACAAATCAGAAGAAGAATAATATATGTAGGATTTTTATTTATAGGTTATGCAAACTACCAAAATGGATTAAAATGTAAATTTTTTACAATTTTGCCCACAAAAATAAGTGTTGTAACATATTCTTTATTTTTAGTTATATATTTTAATTTTAGAAAAAAGGTTAAGTATATAAAAAACGTGAGATTCTAAAAGATGCAAAATTATGTAGACGTATTGTTCCCAGATTTTATATATGTCGATCACTACTCTATATGCAGATCACGAATTAAAATTAAATAATAATATATATGATATAACTATGTATAAAATAATTGTAGCTAGATTTAATTACTGTTATTGCAAGTCATAGTACTCTGGATATCTTGCAAAAATCAGGTGTTTGACCCTATATTTTCAGGTATTAAATAAAACTTAAAAATTCTGTTTTTTTGCAAATATCTTATGATCTACCAGTCTAATTTGAGCAATTTTTTTTATTTTGAAGAGCTTAATAAGAGCTATTAAACAAAAAAAAGATAGCTCAAATCTGATCACTGGATCATAAGATAAATGTAAAATACTCCAGATACTATATAATTCTATAAAATTTTTTAAGAGGGGTACTATACATAGGAGGGTACTATGGCTTGCAATATATGGTATATATAAATTTTCTGGGATTTTATTCAAATTATTTCAGTAAGATGTATTTAATAAGTTAAAATTTATAAAATTCAAGTAATTCTATTTTTTTAATCTTTAATTATATATACTTATATATTTTATAACTTTATATAAACTTATAAATATTAATAAATCAGTAAAACTGTCTAAGATTATGTGGTTAATACTAAGTAAGTATTAAGTAGTAAGCAATATAAAGTTATACATAGATGAGCAGCTAATGGATATTGTATATAGATTTTTTTATATTTCATATATTATATAGTAATAAATTATTTATTTATCACATTAGATGATTTGTAAAAATAAAACTACAGGGTATTTTCACTAAGAAGAGTTGTTTTAAATATAGTATCCTACCACATACCCTACTTATATAACTTTTGTAACTTGCTGAGTGAAGTCCATAATGTTGGATAATGAGAAGTTCATTTTATTTTTTTTTTGTGTCTAACACATTTAATACTTTATTAAGAAAAGAACAGTATTTACATGTCTAGCTAACAACTAAAACCTAATATTATTAAGTAATACTAAACTACTCAGAAGACGACTTCACATATGCATGATCAGGTGGAAACTTAGGCTTAAAAAGTTGAGTAGTTTATTAGTATCCTATAGTTTAGATTAGTCTTGCTTGTATTTGTAATATCACCAGGTATAATGCCGCCTAGTGTTCATCTTGAAAATAAAATTACCAATTTATTTTAAAAATTTTTTTTTTTAAAAAATATTATTATAATTTTATAGACGCACTATACCTATTTTAGCTAATTATAATATTTTATACATAATTTATTGTTTTTAAATTTCATCTACTTTTATCAGGGTTTTAATTTGGGAGGTTTACATGTTGTTGACTAATATTGCGGTGACTTTGGTGAAGCAAATTTACAGTTTTTGGGTAAGTAGATAATCATTCTATTCGGAAATAAAAAATTAACTGATAATCCCTAATTATTAATTTATTAGCAAAAATGGCAAACTAACCATTGGAAAGATCGATTGAAAATCCATGTAAAAGATACGAGCCATTATTAAATGTATTAAATGCGATTTTTACTTCCGAAATTCGGAATTTCCAATACTAGTCACTAATGAAATTAAGGTTTTAAAACTGATAAGGCTTAATTTTTTTGTGCGCATGCTAAAATAATTCATCACGGTTTCTTTGTCACCTTAGCTAATCGAGGAGGATTACACAACCTCCCCTGCAGAAATTTATTTATTTACTAGATACAATTAAAAGAAAATGCAACTAATATGACGAAAGAGTAAATAGTAAATAGGCATAGAACACGATCGGGAACACAAGGATGTGTTGCGAAAAAAGATTTTTTCGTCACAAAATGTGAATTGAAAATTTAACATTATATAAATAAAAAGGGATGTTTTTAAATACTTTTATTAACTTGTGCTTCGTTCTTCTTCATATTCAAGAAGAACATTTCTCCCACCATTACCTTTCTCTTATAAGGCGGAAGCAGTAGTTGTTGATTAGTGTAGATCTTCTAAGTTGTTGACGAAGGGGTAGCAGTTTAAGGAAGAAGTCCCATCCCTTTTTATTTCATAATTCCTAATTTCATATTTTTTTCTTCTACCCGTTTATTTTTTATTTATTTGGTTGAATTAAATATGGTTTTTCCTCGTAGAGGTTGCTTTAAATGTGGCAACGGTTAGTAGTCTGATCTTAAATAAAGGCAGATGATCGAGATCTAACTTCTCATCAATTATATCTTACGTGTTTGACGAATTATTGATTTATTTTAATAAATTATACTTTTTAGTTGGTCATTTTGCCGATTCTTGTCCAGAACCCGAAAGATTATGCTACAACTGTAAGCAACCTGGACATGAGGCTAATCAATGTCCTCAACCCAGGACTGCTGATTCCAAACAATGTTATTCTTGCGGTGGCGGTAAGAATTTAATAATTTATGTATTCTTTTTTTTTCTATTTACTTCTATTTAGATCATATTTATAAGGAATTAAATTTTTAGAATTTAATACTTTATATAAATTAATTCAATCTAGAATAACTATTCATGTTTAACATACCGGACTATCATAGTAAAATTATTGGTTTTACAATTTATTAAATCAATTCTTATTTATAGTTGGACATCTTCAAGCTGACTGCCCTACTAGTGTTCGTGTTAACGGTGGATCGAGTGGCCGCTGCTACAATTGTGGTCGTTTCGTAAGTCCTTTCTCTCTCTCTCTCTTTTGTTATTGAGAAGTATGTATATACTTATTAAATATTATTATTTTTCTTTAGGGCCACTTGGCTCGTCATTGTAGAAACACTGGTGGTGGTTATGGAAATCGAGGTGGTTATAATCGACGCGGTGGTGGTGGTGGTTATAAAGTTATTTGTTACAATTGTGGCGGGTTTAATCACTTTGCTAAAGATTGTAAAGCTTCCGGAGTAAAATGTTATAATTGCGGACGGTTTGGACATATTGTAAGTTTAAATTTATTTTATACAATATATTTAGGAGAGATAACTTATTTCTTTTTAAAAAAAATTAGTCTCGTGATTGTCCTAACTCTCAAGGGGGGCCCACCGATAAACACGTAAAAACATGTTACTCTTGTGGAGAACGAGGCCACATTGTAAGTTTTCTTATTTCAATAATTGTAGTGAAAACTGAAAACCGATCTATATATAATTAACTAATGTCTATAATAAATGATATAGGCCAAGGACTGCCCCAGCCAAACTAATTAATTTTTTTACGACAAATACGACAAATATATAATAAAATTTAATTAATGTTCTGAAAAAAATTGTTTAATTCATCCAACATCTTTTTTTATTTAAGATTCATCCGAACATTTACTTACATTAATAACATAATGAATATAGTCTTATACTAATACTATATATTACCAAATCCCTTCATCACCTTATTTTTATCTTCTCTTTCATTTAACATATATGTGATATTTTTTTTATTATTTCAAATCAAATTTGATTTGAAAAGTAGGAAAAATTAACTTATATTTTGAAACATTTTATTTAATTATTAAATAAAATATTTATATGAAAATATTTATTAAAAAAAAAAGACGACACAAAAAAATTGACAAATATAATATTTAATAATAATACAAATAATACAGATTTAATAATAATATAAAAAATTCATTTTTAGTTTACATCATCTACAATCATACTAATTTAACTATTGAACTATTGAACTAATTGAATAATGTCCAATATATAAAAAATCATATTATTTTAGATTGTAATATCTTCTAAAATTGGAATAATTTCTTCCCATAATTGCAATCCCTAAAAGAGAGTTAGATATGTTAATTAAATAAACAAATATAATATAATACATATTCGTATATTAAAATTATTACCTGACGGTAAAATTCCACGTGTCTATCAGTATAGGCTAACAAAGAATCTTTTAATTCTACAGTTTTTATATTTTGAAATACTTCATATTCTTTAACTATTTCATCGGAAAATTTCTCTGAGATGTCATTACTACTCTCGACCTCCCTTTTCAACTAAGTCAAAATAAGTTAATAGGTGATAATTTAAAATACAGCTTATTTTTAAAATAAACAAACCTCAGTAATTTTAGCATCCAGTTTTTGTAATCTTTCTTTTTTAGCTTGTTCTTGATCTACATTCTTAATATAATCCACTAAGAATGAAGAAAGTCCCGTAGAACCTTTACCAGTACTTACAAGATTCTCTTTTTCAATCAATGCTCCTTGAAGATATTCTGAAAGTTCTTCAAAATCAACTTGTTTTTGATCCCGAAGTTTTAAGACATTCTGATGTATAATAAAAACGTGTCAAATAAAATTTAAAACTATTAAAGAAGTAATTCTGAATAACTAACTTTAACGCAGTGACAGTATGAAAGGAATTCTCGAATTTGATTTAGGTACTCGCTTTCTTCCCTATCCGTCTAGATAATAAATTATAACATTGCGAATACATTTTTTCTATAAGATATCAAATAAGAAGTGTCGTCGACTAATAAATTATGATTTTAGACACGAAAATTACCATTCGCTTCCATGCATCTGCAAATTTTTCAGTTGTTTCACCAAATTTCTTAAGTTGTGTTTCAATTCCAGTTTCAAATTGTCCCAAATTAACAATACTAGTACCAAATTCTCTATAATCGGCCTCTAAGTCTGAAATTTTAATATAGGAAAAAAATGAGTAAAGCATTAAATTATTGACAGAGACGTAAACTACAAGATAAAAATACCTGATTGTCGTTTAATGATTTTAAAATATAATCTTTCGATTGTTTGCAAGTTTTCTTCAATTTTATCAATATTTTCCTTAATTTCAATAAATCTTTCATCAGGCTTTTTAATTTTAGAAAATGCGTTAAGTAACGCATCACCAAAATTCTCAAAAACTCCATCACCAGATTTCTTTTGCCTATAAAATGATTCAGCATTCTAAAATAATAATTATATATTACAAATATATATTACGTGTCAAAATATTATTTAAAAAAGAGGCATATTAAATGTATTTTTTAGTTACCCATTCGCTTGATTCTAAAAATATTCTAAAATATTCACTCTTTTGTAAAGTTGGATGTCGAGCTAATCTTTCCAAAAATCTTTGAAGACTATCCTGACACGTATTTTTCCAATTAAATAATATAATTATTTATAATTAGTGAATAAAATCATTTAAAAAACGCGATAACTTCAATTACTTTTTACCTTGCACGGCGTTTTTCAACAAACTCCGGTCCAAATCGATCACCGGTTATGTATTCTAAAGAAAAAAAATTTTTTTAACAATCTCTCTTTTATAAAGTAAGATATATAAAATTAAAATTCACTCACCTAATCGATGTTTGTCAGGCAATGGTGGTACCACGCACGCGGCAAAATCTCTACTAAGAGAATTACATAGAAATACGAAATCTTGAAATCGTCTTCTAACGGTAGCTTTTGGTGCAACAAATGTTTCTAAAGTAGTCTAAGAAATAAGCAATCGATGATAAGTATTATAATAGTAAGTATCACAATTATTAAAATTACAAAAAATAAGTTCATTAAAGTACCTCTGTGGTGATAAGATAGGAAATGAAAGCTTCCTTAGTACCATCAAGTTCTTTTACTGGTGAAGTAACAGTGATAGTCATAGGATATGCTGCAGGAACTACAACACTCGGAGCATATGAATCTGTAGCAGATTGTCGATTGTTAGCGATATTGTCTGTATGGTTAATAGTTGAAGGTGCCAGTGTCTGATAAAATAAGAAAATTTTCAGTATTGATCATTCATGAATTTTGTAGGTTATATGTTTATATCTTTTAACAGATTAAATATAAAATCGCAAATTGTATATAGTAGTTTACTAAGTTTATCACAAAGATCATATAAACATACCGAAAACATAGAATCATCAATATTACTAATAGTTGACCTAGTAAGATCCTGAGATGGGGGTTCTTCAGCTACTTGGTCTAATAAATCTTCGGGTTTTAAGTAATCAGTAGTACCAGTATCCCAAGCAACACTACTGTAATCGCCTTCGCTTTCAAAGCTCATTATTAAAAGTATAACAAATTCAAGAAGGTAGTAGTATCACACGATAAAAATAATATGAATAAAATATTTCTGTCTTCAAATTTTTTATTTTTTTAGAATTTAAAAGCACTTTATGTACAACTAAATATACAAAATTGAATATTGTAACGTCGTTTAAAATAAATTACGCACACCCAACTCGCTTTTTAAACTCGAATTCGCGAGTAGCCAAAACTATTAGTAATGAGATGTAGAGCCAAGTTGATCGATCAACAGCTGCGAATGTAATGGTTTCACAAACTCGACCAAAAATTTATATAAATATACGCCGGAGTAATTCTTAGTAATTTTCTTTTTTTTTCATGATTACTAAACAAACTCACCCCAATTTTTTTTATATGGACTTTTATATATAGACTTTTAAAAATAATATAATTAACTTTTTTTAAAAAAATGAATAATAATATTTATTTTTTTTTTCATATATGTATCAAATATAACCATCTTTTTTTAATCATCTTTTAAAATAATAAATATTTTTTGATAATTTTTTTATGATAATAATAATAATTTTGATAATATATGTTATCTTGGATATTTTATATAACCAATTGATTGTTCACAATTTTTTTTTTTTTTTTTAAAAAAAATTCTCTCGTAAAACTAAGTTTTTCATTTTATGATAAAACTATTTTACAGAATTATGATACTCCAGAAATAATAAATCTTCAACAGCTATCCCTAACCACCACACAACACGGAGAAAAGATTTGATCCAAGACAAATTTGCTTGGTTTTATTTCGACAGAAATTCCAGAAGAGTAGCACTATGTTAAAAAAAAAAAAAAAAAAAAAA